GTCTTGGGCTTTTCTGGGACATTTGAAGCCTTCTTGGTCATGCTCTCCATGAGGTCTGGATGTTCTTCCCTGTTTGCAAAGATGATAAAGGAAAAATTAGAGAAGAGTTTTCATTCTAATGGTTGTAAAAGGTGTAAAGCAATCTACACACAGCGAAGAATAAAAAATAAAACATTTTGATAATCACCTGAATTTCATCATGCTTTGTACAAATGCTTCCTTTTCACGCAAGAAGTCCTCAACATATTTTTTCTGCAGGAACAAATAATGTTTTATATTGAAGTGAATTGACACATTTATGGGTGGAAACACAACAGCCCTTTTTTTTTTTTTACGTATAAAATGTTTTCCCCCCCAAGGCTGACCTTCTTTTTGTCAGGGAGCTCCCTGTATTTCTTGGAAAGGATCTTGGTGAGGTCCAAGTTGCTCATTTCAGGATGCAGCTTTGCATATTTGGCCCTCTTTTCCATGAAGAAACGGAAATATGGAGTCAAAGGCTTCTTGGGGAAATCTGGGTGTTTCTGTTTTAGGACCAGGTAAACAAAGTCAGTCTGGAACCTAAATTACAAGGTTAGAGACTCATTTGGGATTACAAATACTGACTGTAACTCACCTTTAACTTCTTGCCTTTGTAGGGGTTCTTGATGTAGTCTTCTGCATCCACGATCAGCTCGGTTAGAGTTCTGAATTTACGAATCTGTTTGACATACAACAGAAATGGATTAGTTCTAGATATGTTTTCCTCTGATAATTGTCTCTGAAACAGGCGTCATTTAAGGTGGCTGACCTCTTTTGAGACTTCTAGCCATTTCTGCTTGCACATCTCTGCTGTGTATGAATTGAAGGCAACCTTCTGCCAGTCCAGGTGGGACTCAGAGGTTTTGTATTTTGTCACATCCTTCTGAGGCAGAGCCACTTTCATGGCATCTAGCAGCTTTAGGAGGTCATCCTGCGCCCACACTATAAGGTCAAAGAAGAAGAACAGAAATGACATGTTTTTATTTTATTAATATATTAAAAACTCAGTTCGTTATATCTTACTAGATTCCTAAACATTGTTGTGCTGAACTTTACGAAAATATTTTTTTTAACGAACACAAATTCTTTGAAATAATTAGGGCTTCCACAAACATATTGGTGGAATCATCTAGATCAGATTAACCGAGACAGAATGCATACGAGTTGCTTCTTGTATAGATCTGTACGAAACGCAAATATTCTTGGATAAAAAAAACAACAACTAGGCAGTTTGAAAAATTTTACCTTGGTCCTGGGCCACCACCTCCATCTCTCCATTCATTTGTGGTTAAACTGTCTTGAATCTGCAAAACAAATCAATATTTCAACATCAAAACAACCCACGAGGTTTTGGAATTCCTCTGTACCGAATTTTTTAATGATTTCTCAATCGTTGTTTAGGCCTTCAAGAATGCTCTGAATAATGTGAAAGCCGCTATTTATAGGCTATACGACTAGGAGTAATGGCTTATCCCATCTACCAGTGGTACATATTAGACCAAGACCACATTTACACTTTTCCAAACAAAGACTATCAAAGGTATCCATCATTTATAGCCTCTTTTAAAAAACTACTCATAAAGGTTCAGAATGATTATACTGCAAATTATGTGTATGAAAAAATTAATGAAAAAAAGCATCAATCGACACTAGATGGATAAATCACAAACCGACGAATAAATTATTGAATAAAAGATCGATGAAAGGTTAATTTTAGGGCTGCATTATTTTGCAAATTGATTAACCTTTTCATTCTTTTTTCGATTAATTGATTAACAATTGGAGAGCCTAAGGTTCCTTAAATTTTTTTTTTTACTAAATTAAACAAGGTTTAATTAAAATGTTTCCACTTGAGGGGTTCTGGATTAAACATCTTGACAAAAAAGGTGCTTTTATCTTTTTGTCTGTTTTGATATTATTACTGATCTAAGTGGGGCGCTCTGTCAGCTAAAGCCATGTTTTCCAGTCTCTATTCTCCAGTTTTATGATTAATAGATTACTAAATTAGTTGATCATTTCAATAATCACTTAATCATGATTAATCCAATTGTTTCAGTCTTAGCTAATTTAAACATAACGTGTATGAAAAACACATTTTTCATCATCTTTTACAAAAAATCCCTTAAACAAATACAAAAAACATAAATGTAGCCTAGATTAAGATTTAATTGAAGCACATTAGGAAATTCCAGTTTTTGGATTATTATCATTATAAAACATAAATTCAAAAATGTGTTTGGGAGGCTTTTTTTTCTTTGTGTGGAAATTACCAAATAATCAATGACAATAACGTGTTTTTCCAAAATAATGACAAAAATGAAACCTAGGATAATATTTAATAAGAACACAAAACATATTAAATCGATTATTTAATTTGTTTTTCTGTTTAAAATGTGGATTGTGATTTTTAATGTGTTGGAAATATCGTGTTATTTCATGATGAATGGGAATCTGCTCCGACATGATGGTTTATGTTCATTTCACCGCCCCTAAAACGTTTACGCTACATGCTGAGACATAGGCTATTGCTCGTGACGGCTTCAAATCTCAAATAACACCACAGAGGGCTTCAAACTAGCACAACTAGCAACGACAACAGGAGTCTGAGCAGATCCATTTTTTCTCTCCCCAACCGGAATTTGGCGAATTAGCGCTGTCCTTATTCCGCAACCAAAGTATCCTGGACTCACAGCAGCGACCATTTTCTCTCTCGGTCTGCTCGCTAATGGAGGACGTTTCTGTCGGAGCGGAGGTTTTGGGGAGGATCCACGGAAGGAGGAAGCGAATAGACGTGGACAGACAGGCAGGCAGCTGTAGGCGACCAGCTGACCACGGACTGGGGGGATCTGCTTTCGGTCTCCGAGAGGCAGGAATGGTGGCTTGGAAGCACTGCAGCCAAATGCGCCACTCGGAAGAGGCGCCTCCTAACCGCTGGATGCAGATCTAGCTCCGCCATGAGAGTCCCTTAAAACGTTTCTTTCCCGTTAAGGGTACGGGGAGGTCGACGTATTATCCGTTTTTATGCGATTATGAACAGTTTGGGGCGCTTTTTTTTTATTAATTTTTTTTATTTAAGCGGTTCATGGCGGATCTTTGGAGTCAAACCGAGAGCATTCTTCAGCGAGGCGTAGCCGAGCTGTGCTTCCATGATGGCGGATGCTCGTTGTTCATCGTGTCCTTGATGGCCCCAGCTCAAGCGCGTGACCTAGCTTTTCCAAAACTACCGTCAATAACACGTTTTCTTAATCAGAAACTAAATATATGAAGCACTACCATCGAGTTTAGACAACTTACACAAAAAAATACAGAATATGGATGTTTTGAAAATGAACTACAGCGGTCCACTCAGCCGAGGACTGCTTACTTCGGTTAAAAACAAGATTAAAAATCATGTTTATGCCGTTTTAAGAAGTTAATGTAATTTAGATTATTTTCTCTTCAAATGATTGAATCAGAAAATGCTTTTTTATACAATCTTTTTTTTAGTATTATTAAAAAAAATTATATGAAGATTAGCAAACCTTTTTAACTGAAATGGTCCGTGGAGCCGCAGGAAGAAATGTGAAAACTCTAAATATTGTTCCGCCAAACAGCACGACGTTAACCAAATGTTTTGTTCGAAAATTTTATCTTTTATCAAATGAACTATAAAAAAAATCTGAAATAAAAAAAAAAGATTCTAAAAGATGAATCGCTTCTTTAAAGAACCGTGTGAAGATCCGAGTCTGAGCTGCTTCTCTGGCGCGACAAAAACAGCTCCAGGTCCGCCATGCTTCAGCTCTGCTCTGCTTCTGTGAGGAAACCTACCGTGACAAGGTCCAATGGCGCACTGCAAACACTGAAAACGGAGCTTAGAGCTAAAGCCGGGGCGTTGCAGACTCCCTTCCCCTACATCCGAAAAGCGCATAAGCGAAGGGGGAGAAGGCGGGTTCTTCGAGCTCGGTCGTCGCTGGTGCTTCTGGGCTACATTCGGTGAGAGAGTGAGGGGGAGAGGGAGGGCGAGTCACTGTACGGTGAGATATTAAACCGAGATCCCTGATGGCTGACCGAGAGAGGCGGATAGCTGTTCCGCCAACAGCCGCGTGGAGGTCTCGGTGCGGAAAGCACCCCTTCCCCACGTAAAACATCATTGCATCACGATTGCCACGCGTTTCCATCAAACTATTTTGCCTAAAACAGTTGTATTTTCCCTTTTTTTGTTGTTAAAATCATCAAAAAAAAACTTGGGAGTCGTACAGCGAGGTTCTTCCCCGCTGTTTCTGGATAAGTAATTCGGGAATGGCCGACCTCCTCTCTACCCTTCCACAACGGTCGGTGTGTTTCACTGCTACAAAGAAACGAAAGCGCGACAGAGCTTTAAATATTAATTAACCCCCTAAACTATACTTTAAACTATTTTATTCCATTTCATCTTCGACGCTTTCTTAACGTCGATATAAAACCGTTGGTGCCTTACCTGTCTCGTGAGCCTCAGCGTCGCTGTGGAGGAAGAAGGGGAGGGTTGAACTACAGCCAGCACTGCGCCGTCGATGCTGGGCTCCAGTCCCCGCAGAGACGGTCCTTCCCCCTCCGCCTCCATCTCACTCGCAGTCTCCCTCCACTCAAAGGAGAGCTGCTCTTCCCCTCTCCATCCAACCATTTCCCCCATTTTTTTTATGCGCCGCTGATTTTTAAAACGCATTATCTGCTCCCCGAGGCAGACCCTGTTTCATCCCGGGGAGAAGTTTTACACCCGCGGATATTTAAGGACGGGACTCCGGTTGTCATGAAACGCATAGTTGGAACTTTGGTTGTGCTATTTAATGAAACCATTACAAGCACATTATGTTCATAAAACAACTTTAAATGAAATTGAATTAGAAATAAATCAGCATTTCTTCATTGTCCTGCGCTCAAGCTGTTTCCACTCGCTCCAAACCTTTTTTTATTCTACGCGGCTGTTTGTTTGACAGCTTCATTTTTGCCCAGTGTGTTTTTTTTTCTTTTCAACTCCACCTTGTGTGTTTGTGGGCGTAAACCCCGGCCGTCCAATCAAGTCAGTCCGATTCAGCGAAAACAAATGACTCTCAGGCACTCGGTCTTGTTAAACTTTGATAGGTTCACTGGCCGTAGGAAAAATAGCAATGCAGAAATAAGCGACTGTTCTATTTTGGAAAAAAGGGATGTTTATATTTCAACTGTTGTGTTCATTGTGATAAAATCTTTATTAAAATATGTGGAGGGGAAAACTACTAACTGTGTTACATGTTATTTAAAAGGCTCCCAGTCTGTACACATTTCCGAAAAGATGGAAACGATCGCAAACTGACTCAACTCTCTAATTTGGATTTATAAATAGATGAACATGTGGCTTGTGCTGAGTAATTTTGAAATTAAATCAATGTTGCCTTTGTGGCTTTGGATAGAGATTTTTTAATGTTCTGATATAGAACATCTGAGAATTGCCTGATGTCCTTGAAGGTAGCATGTATAATTTCGGCTTTACAATAAATTCTCATTTTGATTCAGATAAGTTCACAATTTTCCGCATTTTAAAAAGTGTATGATGTGAAAGTGACAATTTGAAGTTTGTGTGCATTCTGTTTTATTTTGTAATTTATCTAGAACATGTTTTTATATAGCATGTTTGTAAGTAAGCAGGTAGAAACAATATTAAATAGTAACCACATATGTTCACAGATTCTTAGTCCCCACAACAATGTGGGAAAATAAACCTTTTTTTTTTTACACTTTTGAAAATGGTTTTCTAAAAAGAGTATGTTTTGTACACTCTTGAAATTTGTAGGCTTATAGGTTAAAAGCTATAACTAATCAGGGGCGGTAGAGTCTTTTCCAGTTGCAGTTATAAAGCCAAAATTTTTAAAGACTGATTTTATTTGTAATAAAATAATCCAAAGCCATGTACAGTTTTTAAGCACACACATTTCATAGCACAAAATGCGTTTCAGATCATATACAACAATGCTTTCCCGATCTTACAACTAAAATGACTATCTATTTAACTACTTTTAAAGTAAGTACACTCTAATATCTGAATATGGAAACACACATCTTTCACATATTTCAAACAGGAACAGGAAATAATATGACATAAGTGACACACGAGTAATTAAATGAGGCAAACTTCAGAAATACATGCTTGAGAAAAATACCAGAGGCGGTGGGACAAAAATGCACTGTTGAATGTCTCCCTGAAATTCTTTATTTTTAAATAAGTTAGCTTGAGCAAGTAAAGCCAAACGTTAAATATGTAATAGAAGGGAGAAGGGGAAAAAATGTCTTGAATCTAAATACTGTTTTCTGTGTAAACCTTTGTTATTGTCAAATAAATCCTGGTTTAGCATCAGAAATGTTGCATGAATGCTGGATTTTAAAAACTAGAAAAAACAACAGTTTATAATTACAATTAATGATTGATTTTTCTTCAAAGTGGTGCTTATGGCAATCCTTCCTCCATGTCTTCCTCGTCAAATTTCACTTTGGCATCATCTGCATCCAGCTGCAAGACAAATCCACCCATTAACACTTCAAAAACAACTTCAATATGATGAGATCATTTACCAAAATGGTTTGAGGAGATATTTTTATTGTTGTTGCTTTTGTCCAGAACTTACGCATTTCATCTCCAAGGGGGTGAAGAGTCGTCCTGTCATGAACATCCGCAGGGGGACGGTGAGAATGAGAAAGAAAGGCAGAGCCAAAGAGAAGGCACTCTGCTTGACAAGCCAAAGGATGGTCAAACACACAAGCTGGATAAATGTAAAGAGATGCATCCGCAGAGTTTTCACCTGCAAAGATAAACAATCAAAATCAGGCTTACGGGACTTCTAAACCAAAATTCAAGTGGATTTTAATAAATCAGGTCAAATGTAAATGACAGCACAGACAAAAAGCATACAATCATCAAAAAATATTGGTGTTTCTAGGAGCAACATTTTGCAAACAGAGGTACATTTTCATTAAAAACTAACTTTTGAAATAACTAATTCTAAAAAAAGAAGGAACACTTTGGTAAAAATAAACAGTATATGTTAGTAGGACTGATACCCTGGTAGCATAGGCGTCAGATGGATGGTATTTCTTTGGTGTAATTAGCAGAAGCATCCTGTCCCACATCTGGACCCCGCTTAGAGAGGTGATACCCATGTACAGGAATATACCAAACAAAGCTGTCATTGGAATCATCTTCAGGATTGGTTCCATGAAAATTGAAACTCCTAAACATTAAGAAAAAAGTATGGTTATTAGCGGGAAAAAAATAATTGCTTGTTAATGCATCAGCACTGTAGATGGCAGCACCTACCAACCATGATGGCCACGCATATACCACTGATCCTCTGCTCAATCACCTTCTCAATCACCGGTTTTGGCCCCTTAGACATGACAGTTAGAGCGTTGGCATGGGTGACGGATCGAACGGTGGCAGCACTCAGCCAGGGGACTCCAAAGATGGAAGAAATTCCGCCCATGGTGACCAGAAGGAGCAGGTCGAAATGAAAACCAGAGCCTTTTACCATTTTCCTTTCAGGTTTGCTTACAATTAGCCTGCGCTCAACAGAGAACACAAAGATTGTTTAAATAGCTTGTTAGCTTGATGATATCATGTACACAACTTTACTCACGTAGTAATCTGGGACTCCATGAAGATGAGGATAAAGACAAGAAGAGCAGGTACACAGCAGGCACCCATCATCCAAATAGGGAAGGGCTGTTTTTCCCCCATTGGGTTAATAAACCAGCCTCTGGCTTTGGGGTTGGTCACTTCAACACCTTTTGGCACAACCAGTTTCTACAAGAGATCACAAAAATTGGATGATACATGAAAAAAAAGATGATAATTTCCATATTTTGAAACAAAAAAATCTGTAGTTTTTAGATTCAAACATCATTGAAAATAAATTAGGCTTTCTAACCAAAGCTTGATGCAGAAATATGTCAAGTTGTTGTTTTTTTTCTCATAAGCTCAGACATGGTATCTGACTTTAGCTATTGGAGAAACAGACCCTGAGGGAAACTGAGACATTCTCCTCACAGAAAAACTCCCCAGCCTTTTCCCAAAGGGTTTTAGCACAGAAACAAAAAACAGTCTGCAAAAAAACCCTTTAAGACTTTTTATTTGAATTGCTATTTGTAACCCACCTGCGTATAAGCATCCGCAATGCTAATATCCACTGCGATCATGAAGAAGATGGCAATAGGGACCCCAAAATCTCCAATCAAGCGACGAATCTGGAGGGAAAATGAAATGATTAATCCCTAACAAACTCAGATCAATTGATAGAGGTGATTTACTTGAGTGTTGTTTGGAACTTGATCTTACCGGACCAGGGAAGTAGGTTCCATTTTTGAACTGACGGAGGAAGTATGCAATGGAGAAGCATCCAAACATCAGGCACATAGACAACAGGGCAGTGTTGGGGTACGGCCTTTCCATCTCCTTCTCTATAATGGTCACATTGCCATCTGGATGAACCTCTGTGTGTTTATGGATGACTGGGTGGAAGGGGTTTTCCAGTGTGTCGTTAACATGTTCATAGTTCAGGATCAAAGGATGGGTCTGAAAGATCTAAACAAGAAACAGGTTTAAGGTTAGATAAAACAAAAATAATTATCAGTGTGAGACAGATGAGGGAATTAATTGTTTGAACCTTTATGAGTTTGGCAAACGTCTCATAGATGAAGATGAGTGAAATGAGGATGGAGAAGATTTCTTGGGTGAAGCGTGAAATGAATCGGACCAAGAAGCTCCCTTCGACTGCAACAACTACAACCACGATCACTATCAGCCACATGCCCACCCAAATACGACCCACAATGTACTCCATGTCCTGAGATTTGCAGAACTGGTGGAGAAAAAAAAAAAGGTGACTGATTTTAGAGAGGGATGTAGCTCTTTGAAAACTCTTCTTTCTGAAATCTTATCAGCTAGTTATTCTTACGGCATAAAAAGCTTCCTCAAACAGCAGCAGGGGTCCAGAAAATCCAATGACGAGGACAGGTTGGGCAGCAATGAAGCAGAAGATAACACCCTGGATGCTGGTGGAGACCATAAGCTCTGAGACGCCCATCATTTTTTCAGTTTTGTCCGCTAGATTGGATTTAGAGCCAGAGAGAGAATTTCTTAACTACTTGTATGGTCATTAAACTCATCATGATATATATCTTTGTGGTCGGGAGTTTTTCTATTTACCAAGAAGCCCCCCAAAAGTGATGGCAGGTGATAAGGCTGCGAAGTAGATGAAGATGATGGCGGCGAGGACCTGAGGGTTCAGAGCATCTGTGTAGTCGCTAAGGTAGTGGCGGTATCGGCGCTTGATGTCCCTCACCATTCCACCAAATGGATAGCCTGTACGGGCCAGAGGGTCCTCCTTTGGCCCTTCAGGAATCATTTGTAAAGCTAAACAAAGAAAGATATCCAATCCATCACATCATTTTCTATTTTATTCTATGACATTCCTTGCATTTCTATGCTTAGTTTTACCTGAGGGAATTTCTGAAATAGTTATTTTCTACAGTTTAACCCTATTTGGTGCAAATGTATCAAGGATTCTTACCTGCTGCCCTTTCTCCAAAGGCAAGGCGGGTGTCAGTAGGCCGGAGTCTTTCCCGCAGGATCTTCCTCTGGAAGTCAATCATTGGCTCCAGCATTGTCTTGTCTTGGATTTCAGTCGGAGGGATCACGATGCTGCAGTCCATGAAGTCAGCAATCGCATCAGTCAGATCTTTCTCAGTTTGGGCGAGGTGAGCTTCCAGACTGAACACCTAGACGAAAAGTATCATTAATGTACCTGCATTAAACAGTTTTATTTGATGAGTATGATCTACAGAAAGTGATGTCTGTCCTTCCCTACACTAATCTCATACCCAGTCCGCCATCAGAGCACCCATGGCACGCCCAGTTTGAGTGTAGTTCATGTCACTGATGGTAGGGCCGACCATCATGAACACAAAACGAATGGGGACTGAAGACTCCAGGACGGATTCCATCACCACAGTGTCAGTAAGCCTGACAAAAGCCACCACTGGCTTCTGCAGGAGGTCCAGAACACCTGCAAGGAATTCCCTTAAACCAGATCTGGACCAAAAACATGCTTACTACATGTAGGAAGTAGCATCTGAAGAAACATACCAGTGAGGACAACTGAGGCCTCCATGTTGTCAGAGCTGTCTCTCTGCAAAAAATATTGTAGATTTAAGTATAGTAAATATTTTGATGTCATACAAAAATAGAGTTTAAATAGTTAAAGGCATTACCTTCTTTACAACAGAAAAAGTTTGCATTTGAATATCTCCAGCTGGAGTAATCACAGGTCCATCATTTTGACTGCCAGGACCAATAGAAGCACAGGTTTAGAAAGGCGTTGAGATTTCGTGTCGTAGCAGAAGAAACAGAAACATCCCCTCTGTGGGTTACCTGCGTCTCATAAGGAGAGCTCTCAGCAGGGCGTCTCGATCGCTGGAGCGTATCTCATTCTTGCTCACCAGCTCGTCCACTATTTTCTCAGCCACAGAGGACAGACTGCTGGCATTCATGTCAAAGATGATGGCTCCTGAGGACCAAGGCTTAAGGTCACTAAAGCTTTGAATAGTTCACCCTGTCCAGTTTAAAGAAAAATGTGGATGTTCTAAAATTACCTGTGCGCATCAACCTCCGGACTTGAAGGAGGCTCCTAAAGCTGAGGTAGGACACATGGGAAGGACCCCACTGTTGTGTAGCGGGATCAAGGTTCTCTTCATAGCCTACCCATCGGCTGGTCTCCTGCCAGATGTTGCCCTGGAGCTCATTTAACTCCACATATGCCTGTTGACATAAGTGAACACCATACCATGAACGGTGTTTACTTCTTGTTTTGATGTAGAACTGGATTTTTAATCAGGTTTGATGAAATTAAGAATATAGGTCTGTTGAGATTAAAAACCCTCGCTTTGTCTTTTTAAAAGCTTGAGACAGATTTGCTTTTTTAGCATGATAATGAGCTTAAACAAGCATCTAAATCAGTAAAATAATGTCCTCACAAAACAATTACTTGTAAGCACAGAATTTAGAAATAAGTTTGATCTTTGGCACCATCTGGAGAGTTCTGTGGATAAAAGATGGCTTGATAATCTTAAATATTAGAATTTCAAGATTGCAGAATAAAAAAAATAACACTCATGGCTGATAACTGAATCAAGCCAGTTCATGTGCACATTTGTTGACAATTTTTTTTATCAGGATGAATGTTTTACTGTATGTGGAAAAAATGTTTTACTCCATAAAAATCAACCACATTGCAGGGATTAGTGCACTTTTGAACAGCACATTACATCAATTATATTCATTCAGAAGCTTCCACCAACCTGAGCATCCCCTCTCGTGGTGGCATTGGTGTTGACATTCAGAAAAGCTGAAATTAAGAGGTAGACATTGGGTTGTTTTCTTTTTTTGGTTCTTAAAAGGATTATTCATTAAAATCTGTGTAAACATTTTACCATCTGAATCACTGGGAATGACAATGGCTTCAGGAGGAGCCTCAGTTTCTTCCTCCTTTTCCGCAGCATTACTTTCGACATCAAGGCTGTCACTCTGGCCGTGGGAAGTCCTAATGGGTATTGAAGCACAAGAACATTAACCATCCTTCTACTTTATACTAATAGGTCTTAGATAACATAACATGTTACTGGTGTTATTTTTTTATTTTTTGAGATATCCTGTTATTTTACCTACTGAAATGGCTGCAATTATTTTTCCTAAAACTAGAAATGGTTAAAACATATGTCTATATATGCCAAAATAAATTGTGGAATTGGTGCTATGCTTTGCATCACCACAAGAGGGCAGCCTAGATGCTCCCTCAGCTGCCTCCTTCTTATCTCTGATTGGCCCAGGGCAACATCTAGTGTAACTTCAAATGTAAGGGGATGTTTTTTGCAGCGGAATTTAAAACATCCGATTTAGGAAAGCTCGATCCTTTAAAAATCTTATCAACCAAAGAAAAAAAAAAAAAAAACATAATTAAATAAGACAAGCTGGAAATAATTTCTCATAACGTTTCATAGGATTTGATATTCAAAGTTTTTAAATTTCATTTTTTTTATTTTAAATTAAATTCAATTACATTTATATAAAAATACTCTAGTATTTTATTATTTTCTATTAAATTTGCTTTGCTCTATCAGCTTTCATGTAAAAACAGTCCAACATAATTTGTGTTTACTTCAATAAAGCAGTTCGGAATAAATCAAAACATGATAAAAAAAATTAAAACAACGAATTTCAGCAGCAAAAATGTGTCACACACCGCAAACATTTAAAAACTGGGGCTTGGGCACGAATGATAGAGTTCCCTGTATCTTATCAGGAACAGTGAGCAGATGTTCACTCTTGGGGCGCAGTGTTAAAGAGGGAGCCTTGAAGAAGATGAAGCACTTACAGTTTTACTGGAGAAGGGAAGGCCAAGTCATTGTCTTCATATGACATGTCACTGCCCTAAATAAGAGGGAAGTTTAAAAAAAATCAATTACCCTGACAGGGAGCATATGAATTAGGTTTTAAAAAAGTACAAGTTTTTCTTTGTTGGTAAAGCGAATAGAAAGACCAACCTCCTCAAAAGTGAAGTTGTTCTCCATGGATCTTGACTTGCCTCCGCTTTTAGCTACTTAATGCATTCCCTAAAGCAAAAAGCACATTCATGACTTACAGTAATCTACAGGTTATCTCAGATCTGCTAAACTTGCTGGGTGATTAAAAAAAATATATACTGAAAAGGTCACAGGTTACCCCAAATGTACAAACTTTTGCAACATTTATGTCATCAGGTCCAATTTTCTGCAGTCATTGTTTCTCAGCCCTTTCTGTAGATATAAGCTTTTTTAGGATAAACACCAGTTCTGATAAAAATATCACAATAATCTGCCCTCAGAGCATACAGTCAGAGTCTGTTTGTAAAATGCTACCCAGGTCTGATAATAAACTGTCCGTTAGAAATTTGAAGCATGATATAGTTTAAATAGACTTTAGAGGCTTATCTTTGGGGTTACACCCTTCAACCAGACTCATATGTTCTCCACAGGCTGAGAGAATGAAAATGACCAATTTTAGATTCTACAGCTGCTCAGCATAAAGTTACACACAGGGTTGAACATAATCTTTTTTGTTTTTTGTGGAGTTTTATTTTTTTGGCATATTAACCAAAACATGACCCCATTTGGTTAAAAACTTATAATTGTACTTCCACCAAAAAGAGTCTAACTTTAACATTTTTTTTAAAAACCAACAGATAAATATGAACCTTGAGGACAAAATTATCTTTTTCCTGAACATTGACGACATTTCAAAACAACAAATCTTCAGGTATCTGAACGGTTTGTAGATAATGATGTTCTATTTTAGAAATCAGTAAAAAAATCCAGTTATACATAGAGCAAAACGCTTTATTAAAAAATATATTAAATGATTGAATTAGCTCAATTTAGCAAGAAATAATTGGAACTTGGAGTTCCTGGATTGTAACTTTATTCTACATCAAGACATATTCTCCATCAAGTTCTGCATTAAGCATGTCTAAATCCCAAGCCAGAGGATGGCCACACCCCTACCTGAATGCAGGTAATCCAACCTGGTCTCAGACACTGGAAACAAGATCAATGCCCTGTCTGCCTCAACGAGCCCGGCGACAAACTGAGCCCAGAAAGACGAAAAGACAAGTTCTCTGAAAGACCCAAAGTAAGTGGGAACACCCACCTGAAAGTACGTCGGCGCTAAAGTGCAGTACCCTACAACCCCTGTGGTTCCTCAGCAGGGTGTATGACACACAAACATCTCTATCTTCACTGGACACCTTGAGACGGGGATATCCCAGCCCTAATTTGGCTGCACCGCCCTTTCAGAAGGACCCAATTCTAAGGACAGACAGACTGAACCTCTAAGGGGCCCACATGGGCTAAAGAGGGTCAAGAAAGGGCCAAAATGTGGTACCATTAGGAGAACATCTATTAACGTCATCTTGTTTACAAACTGGGGATTCCCTTCTGATGTACATAAGAGATAGCATGGGGTAGTTCCATGTGATGTGATACGAAAACATAAAATCAAAAAAATATACGGTTGTTTGTTGGAGTGCATGTAGATGTGGAGCATCGAGACGAGACCTCCTCTGCTGGCTGAAGGTGTAGCTGCTTTTGCTAACACATGATGCTAGACAGACTGGAGAAAAAGAGAAAAATGCATTTTCAGGTAATTCAAAGTGCAGCTAAAAAAAAAAATATAAAATTACCGCAGTGGCAATCCTGACAAAGTATATAATATAGCATGCAAAGTCATGCCATCAACGCTGTTTTAATTATATCAAAACTAAATAAAATAATTTCTTCCCCTTCCTTGACAGAATTAGTTATATTTAATACACAAACCAGTAATATGTCCGAACAAATCTTATAGTCTGAGAGGTACATAAAGGACTAAAGGGATGCACACACCTTTAAATACAATGAATTGTTGTGCGTTCAATCAGTTTTTATTTTTGTAAAGTAAAGCGAAGACAATCAAACATTTTTTGCGAATAAAAAAAACTCTAAAGTGTGAATAATACTTGTACTTGGCACCTGACTTAAAAACTCTCAGTGCAATTACAGCTGTTTCAGCAGCGTTTTGTGGTATCTCTTTACCAGCTTTTCTCCACTGGATATGGTGTCAATTCTACACTAAATAGAAATTTGCTCAATTTAAGTGAAATTTTGAGTTTGAACAGGAGAAAGCTGCTCTATGTTTAGAGTAGCAGAAATAGAACCAATACAATCAAGATGCTCAAAGAAATATGATTGGACTGGAAATGGCCCTGGTTGCTGAGAAGACCTGAACAAAAGAGACTGCGATCTGAGAGCAAGTGCACGAAACCAGTGAAATAAAGACTTATTTAGTTAAATTTCAGCAAGATCTGGAGAGACAGCTCTAGGTCCAGGAGAAATCCAGTCCCCTCCCTGACAGGGTAGCAGAAATCTCTTAGAAATGCAGAAGTAGCTATGAAAGCTGTTCAGGAGGTTCTACATAAAGAAAGGCAGCAGTGGCTAACAGAGAAGCACTGCCTTCTAGAGACTCTTCCATCAACAAAGGAGGCTCTGAAGGAGATAGAGGAGGAGAGTAAAACATCAACAGAGGGACTGATGGATGAACTGAAACATCTACAACAGGAGAGGGATAATTTTCAAGAAAAAAAAAAAGAAAAAGAAAAGAATCGTAAACGTCTTTAGAAGCTCTAAAAAGGTTCTACCGCACTAAGGAAACTGACCACTGCTGAACCTAAAAAATCCCTTCAACCAAACCATAACACTGAGAAAAATACTTCCTGAACCCAAACTCCAAAACCATAACCTTCAAACCCTCGTCCCCTTTGTCAGTTTATCATTCTCATCCAAAACCTTAAACTCTCTACCTTTAACCCTGAACTCTTGCAACCCAAAAATGGATATTCTTCAACAATGAGACCATGAAGGTATTTTTTCTCTGCAATGCTTTCTCCAAGAACCTCTTTTGTGTTCGTTCCCAAGATGTGAGATGGGATCTGGGTCTTTGTTTACATTATTAAACTCTCTTTAAGAGAAAGTCTAGGCTAATCCCAAATGTTTCATTACAGCAACAGTAAATCTATTGATCCATGTGGCCTTTTTGGTTGTCGCTTCTGCTTAAGAAACAAAGATCACTTTGAGTTGAGAATTTTACCCGTTTCCCACTGAAGGCTGCAAGCAGATGTCAATGATTCAATCCCAAATGTCTACCTCCCCCAACTATTCAAAACAATCTATCAATGAAAAAATACTCCCTCTCTACCAGTGGCTTTTTCTGGGACATATTTCTGCCCTGGTAATAAGTTTTTACCCTGGTAAATAGAGTGAGTCTGCACGGTGGTAAAGTGGTCAGCACTGGTGCCTTGCAGGAAGAGACTTTTCTGCATGTACTTTGCATGTTCTCCTTGTGCTGGCGTGGGTTCTCTCCGGATGCTCCAGCTTCCTCCCACTGTCAGAAAAATATGCTTTTCAGTTTAAATGATCAAATTAAATCCCCCCAACACAACTTTTTTTTTCCTTTTACCCTTCAAATTTAGATGCATTTATCAAAAATAAATAAATAAATAAATTCTACAAAAAAAAAAAAAGCTCATTCATAACAATAAGTAATAAAGTATTTTCCCTCTGGGATTATTAAAGGATTTCTGATTCCGATTCTGATTTTATTTAATCGTTTTAAGTTGAGAATTTAATGCTTTCGCATTTTATTCTTTCTAACTCATGGAAAAAAAAAACTGATTTGTTATAAATTTGAGTTAATAAGGAATCAACAGAACAAAAAACAAATCATGCTATAAATCTGCCATTGTAAAACGGGAGCTCCTCTGAGTAACTCCCCAATGATCATATTTAAAGTTGAGGAACTGGGAAGAAAAAATACTCAACAAAAAATGTAGTTAGACTAACTCCATTTGTTTTACACTGTTTTCATCATTCATGACACCTGAGCTGCTTTGATGAGCTCAGGTGTGGAAAAAAAAAAAACAGCTGATCCCAGGCTGTTCCTCTGCCTGGTTTTGATGTGTGCCAACGCTGAAAAGTGAACTCAAACGTATAAGAATAATACACTTTTTGCTTAAAATGGTTTGTTTTATTTTTCATATCTTTTTTTTTTATTTTACTACCCGAAAAATAGAATATTTTCTTGTACCCCTTGCAATGCATTCGCAGACCACTAGGGTTACGAGTGCCCACTGTTGGGAATTACTGAGCTACACTGTAGCGACTGCTGCTCTGGGCAAGACTGGCAGACACCAGTCCCAACATAAGGAAAGATGGATGAATGGTATTGCCTCATAACCCATTGGTAGAGACAAACGGAGCAGGGAAGCTTAAACTTGGCAACCCGTCGATTAGAGGACAAACCTCTGCATCCTGTGCACGATCACCCCTAGAATGCATTAACTTCATAGAATGAAATAGAATAAACCACTGGCCAAAAACTCCATTCCTGGAGTGCTGGTTCCCTGCAACTTTTAGAGGCATCCCTGCTTCAAGACACTAGAATCCAATGGCTGACTTACCTCCTCAGTTGAAATCAAGTTCTGTAGAGTCATGCTAATGACTTGATTATTGGACTTGGATGTTTTAAAGCAGAGTCACTTCTAAAGGAACAGGACATGTATTGATCTGTTCTATGCATGCAGCCAGAGCCCTGATAGCTTCATATCCACGTGGTGACATTGTGATGCAGTGGCATGCACATAGCCTGCACCCCACCCCACCTCGATCTTGTGGCCCAATATTTGGAAGATGTGGAATAAGGGCCCATCCTTGGGAGCCAAAATGTGCACTTAAGTACCCTCTTGGAGGCTAAAATGTATGCTAAATTGCCCTCAAGTGCCCCCTAGGGAGCCAAAACACATGCTAAAGTGACCCCTTGGGATCCAAGAAACATGCTAGCGTGCCCTTAGGGGCCAAAACGTTTACTTAAGTGCTCCTTTGGGCATCAAAATCCATGTTAAAGTTCCTTCTCAGGAACCAAACCGTGCGCTAAAGTGCCCCCTTGGGAGGACTAAAGCACTGGTATGTCTTAAATTATGAGGTACTTATTATCATCATACCTTATTTACTCAGCGATAAATAAGATTTATATTCAAAACTAGAATGAAGGTTTCCTGTGATGTTACATAAAATCTTTTTTTTCAGCCTAGAAATAAAAAAGAACATCCACACTTATTTTATTATATTTTATTTTTGTCACATTCTGTAATAATATGAAGACTATCATTTTTGTTTGGACTTTAACAGTCAAATTTATTTATATATTGATATGTTTTCATAATGGATATTTTAGAAAACACATTGTAGCTACAGGCTTTTATATGGGTCTAAATTCTACATGAGCAGAAAAACTATTTTAAATCTGGGTTTATTATCTTGGTTAAAATCAAAAAAAAAAAAAAAGAATCAACCAATTTTCAAAAATGTTACCCATGCTGAGGAAACACTGCGGGGGCCCAATTTTAGACTGTATGGTAGAAACTTGTTATCACTGCTCATAGAAGCTATCTGCGGTGGCCATGTGGTTTAACTCAGTGTACAGACACTCCCAGTTTCCACAAAGATACTAATAAATGCACGTCTTTATGTTTTACATAAAAAGTCAGTTTTTATGGTAGTCATTTAAGCTTTACATCTTTAAAAAATGAAAAATAAAGTTGAGAAAGACACAATAAGTGAAATCAAAGGTTAGAACTTGACCCTGTGCAAAACTTTACAAATTTCCTGGAGTTGCATCCATCTTGATTTCAGCGAAAGCAAAATTTAACATCAGTAGTGGTCCGTCATATATATATCTTTTAAAATATTCATTCTTTTATTT